TTAATCGTGCCGAGGAGTGTATGGCTGCTGTGTTATGAGGTCGTGAACGATCCCCTACAGGCTTCGCGACCGTGTTTGTAAAAGACCGTTTCCCAATGTGCCGGGCAATCTTGGATGGACTTTTGGATCTGTGCGTCACTCGTGGAACAATATGAGAACTAAAGGTCAACCCAAAAAGTCCAGTATGGCTCCTCCAGTGGATAAAAAGGGGGCCCGTACCTCAGGAGCGAACATACTTGAGATCAAAAAATTTGCCATAGGGACAAACTTCTACACAAATAATGAATCTCTAGGTCACCACAATCTGAATAATCCCAATCATGTGCATATGAATTCTTCAACTAGATCCACAACCATTTGTTTAAAGTAAGAAAAGGTAAAATGGTCTCGTGAGAAGTAAAACCTCGTTATGACTACATTCTATGAAGCATTGCCCAAACTTAAGAAAAACATCACTCGCTAAACATACGACATTTGACAAGAAAAGGTTGGACAAGCAATTAGAAAGTACATTGACGAAAATAAACTAACCAATGTAAGAAGGTAGATCATGAGAAATAATCGATTGACAGGAGATGAAATTAAAGAAATAAAAAGAACTGCAAGCAGAATCGGTGAATCAACAGAACATGAAAGAAATGGAGATAAAAAGATGCTAACATCACACAAACCACAGATCATAATGAAGAAACTGAGATACACAGCAATCACTGTGACGAAAAATGATAAGAAGAGTTGGAAAGGCGTGATCTTAATCGCTCACAAACCTGCAATAAAACGAGTCCAAAACACATTGAACTGAATTATTTTACGGAAAACAAGAATTGTATACAAGAAGCCAAGGAAGAAATGATGGGACATATAAACCAAACAAAATATATTTAAATGGAGGAACGAGAAGAACTTCCAATATTATAACCAACAAAGCATAACCTCAAAATTATTAAACTCGACGATGCTGCACTCAAATTAATTAAGGGTGGAATAGATCCACATATAAATCTCAACGAAGCAATATATTCATCAGCAACTAAAAAAAGGCAGTCTCTCAGATATGAAGATCCACCTTGGAAAAGGAAAATAGAGAAAGAAATTGAACAACTTAGAAGTGAATTATTAGTAGTCGATGAACTGGCAAGAGGAACAAATGTAAGGATTAGAAAAGGCAGAAGATTAAAAAGAAAATACAAAATTAGGAATGAAAATGAAGTCCTATGAGCTAAAGAAATAATAAAGCAAACAATGCAACTGAAGGCTCAAAGAATCAGACGCTATGAAGATCAAGATTCTACAGACATAAGAAGATCTTTGAAACTCATGCGAAAATAATTTACAGAAAAATAGGCAAACAACAAATTGAAGCGGCCAAAACCCTAAAAATAAAAAAATGAAAAACACTGGAAGAGCTTATAGAGTTCTGGAAAAATATCGGGTGTCCTAAAGGACATAATAAAGAAGCAGATTGGATTATTCAATAGGAAGAATGGGAGAAAAATAAATCAGAACAAACATGAATCACAAAATGCATTGAAAAAGAGCACACAACTGGAAATCTCCAGGAATAGATAAAATTCCTAAATTTTGGTTCTATTATCTTAATATAGCACGCAGAAAAAACAGCCAAAGAACTTCAAGAAGTGATCAATGATCCTACTAAAATTCCGGTATGGGTAACCAAAGGAATTGCCTTCCTTCTACCCAAGAATGGTGACACACATGTCCTAAAAAACTACAGACCAATTACATGTCTTCCCATTACTTACAAACTGTTGACATCTATTCAGACAAAATAGACATATTCCTTCTTAGAAAAAAAATGACATACTACCTGTTGAACAAAGAGGGTGAAAACCTGTCTCTTACGGATGTAAAGACCAATTACTTATTAATAGGATGATCTTGAAAAACTGCTTCAATACAAAAAAAATCTCAACACAAAAAAAAACAAGGATAAAGCTCTTGAACAGATGAAACAACGCTGGAAAATTAAAGCTCTTCATGGTCAATATTCAGAACGTGCTAATAAAGCTGATGTTGACAAAGTTAACATTCATCGATGGTTACGAGCTTCTAGATTAAAAGCTGAAATGGAAGGCTTTATTCTTGCAACGCAAGACCAGAGTCTTTTCACTAGGAACTTTCTGGCAAATATCATACATAATAGCGTAGATTCAAAATACAGGTTCTCTTACAAATATCATGAAATCATAGTCAATATAATCTCAGGATGTTCTGTACTTGGGCCAAATAAATATAAAAATCGTCACAATAGAATAAACAGTTTTGTATAAACTTTATACAAAACTGCTTATCTACTAAAGAGAATAATCTAAATGTCAAAAAAATATAAACACTGAACATGTTCAATATCACGTAACTTCAGAATTCGTGCAAACACAATCCATATATTTAGCATCTGAACACTTCAACGTGGTGTAATGGTTAGCAAGCTGGTCTCGCTATAACAATTACGACTGAGTAGTAAGTTCGATCCTCACTGTATGCCCCATACTTTAGACCTTAGCTTAGAAAATCCCCATGCATTTATATATCTTGCCTTACTCCTGATTTGGGGTAAAGCCTCGTTAAAGGATTGTACTGAACAAAAAAAAACAAATAATATATTTTAAGACATTTTTATGTTTATGCATTCTTTTTTTATAGATAAAAGTATTTAAGTAAATGCTCTGTTTATAATAAACAGTATTAAACAACATTTACCGGCCTGAATGTCCGAGAAATTGTGATAGAAATATATGCGTCCTCCGACAGGAATCGAACCTGTATCCTATACGGAACCATCATATAGCCTGAGGTGCTTTTACCGATTTCGCCACAGAGGATCGTTTCGTTTAGCAAGGTCGATTTTTTCTGGTTTTAAACTACAATTTTCCATGATTTTCTCACGTACATTCATATTTGCTCAATGCGTATCCAAATGTAAACAAATGACGTCACACATTATGAAATGGACAATTATTTTAAGACATTTTATGTTTATATATATATATATATATATATATATATATATAAACATAAAATATATATATATATAATATAAATATATATATATATTATTTATATGTTTAGATAGATAGATAGATAGATAGATAGATAGATAAAATTCTTTTTTCAAAGAGAAACCTTAATTTCCATGACTCTAACTTATTTCCCCAGAAGGTAACTAGAGATGTGACCTGATGAATCAAGAAAATATATTTTCTGGGGAAATAAATTATAGTCATGGAATTTTAAGGTTGTCTCTTTCTTAATTAAATAATATTTGCTCTGGTTTTACATTGATCTCTCTGGATTACATCCCCTTTGGAATTATCTACCCGGATTACCAAACCCTTCATTACCTTACATTAGATAGATAGATAGATAGATAGATAGATAGATAGATAGATAGATAGATAGATATGAACAGATAAATGTGAGAATTTGTATCGAAAATATAGCAGTCTTGATAATTAATAAATATAAACGCTGATATGATACCAAAATATAAGCAAAAATGATCTTGAATATAACTAAAACTAAATAGTCCTAATGCCACACTAACGACATAAACAAGTAACTTAAGTTTACCCAATAAATAGATAGGAATAGCCTGGAATGATAGATATGTAAAAGAATTCCTAGATATATATTGGTTTGCGTGTTTATCTGGCAATCTCTTGGGAGTGACCAAAAAGTATGGCCTTGCGTTAAATCCGGTTTTGTCCAAAAAAAATAAATAAATAATAATAATAACTAGATTAAAAGAGGTGGGTGTGTGCGGGTTGGGAGATAGTAATTAACCTTACTTCTTCAAAACTTGAAATTTTATGAGCTTTCTGGGAATAATATGTCGTAATATTTAAAGTTCGTAATTAAAATAGCGTGTAAAGATTTCAGAGCTATGTCACGGGGTTCTTGGCAAAATCTATAGAAGGGTCCGTAATATAATCAATCCTGACCTGGCATCTCGGTTTCAGTCACTTTCTCACAGACGTAACATGGTTTTCCTTCTGTCTTTTCTCTATATATTTTCATGGCAATTGCACTGATGAGCTTTCCTCCTTGGTATCTCGACAGAAAGTCTCTACTTATATTTTTATTAACAGAAATGTTTCAATATAGAATACAGGAAAATGCCCATTAGCATCGATTCAGGCTTGGATCCTTCTTATTTTGTTTCTGAACACAGCTATGAATTGTTCGCTTGAAACAGACTGAATCAAGAGACTTATGAGCCGTTGCAACACCAATATCTTGTTGCTGAGCTAACCTTCTTAATGATTGTCTTGAACTCTTCTGCATACTCTCGGAAAAATCCAACAGGTTCTCCTTCAACAGCTTTTTGACCTTCCACAATGTTTGACATTGTCCACTGATAGCGTTCCTGTTTTTATATATATATATATATATATATATATATATATATATATACAATGGTGTTCACCCTGTACAAGGCTCGAGAACCACTCATGGTAGGGGGATTACAGTGTAAGAGACACAGTTTATGCGGATATGTGTGGAAGATAACGGTTAAGCGTAGACTTGAATAGGTTAAGATTGTAATGATCTGGGAAGCATCCTCTTATGATTCTACCAAGGTATCTAGCTTAACGCTGATAGGTATATATATTATGCCGCTTCCTTTTATATTCAAGACTATATAAGGAAGGGACATAAATCCTCTCATTCTCTTTTAGCTCAGAGATGTAGCAGCGACAACAACGGGACTCTTCCGTCCAGCGAGATTTCTTAAAATTCACTTAATCAAATGGCGTAATCACACACACACACACATACACACACACACACACACACACACACACACACACACACGCACACACTCACACACACACACACACACACAGTATACAAATGTTTGACTTTTTAGGGGTTATTTTGTCTTTGTACACACATAAATATAGTTTTCTCTTTTACTTCTTTTGTGAGCTATGTTGTTCTTTATATATATGTATGCATGAAAATTCCCCCATGTATTGATTCCCGTACGATCATCCAAGTTAAGCAACGTCGAGCCTGGTCAGTACCTAGATGGGTGACCGCTTGGGAATACCAGGTGCTGTAAGCTTCGATTTGCGGGTGGTGTAATTGATAATGGTTCGGAATTATTAATCGGTGAGCCGAGTTCCAATTCTGATTGGTTTCGTTATATTCATTTACGCGCAAATGCCCTTACGAAAATGAATCCACCTCTTCTCCCTCCAGCTATGGGTTAATTAGTAAGATTTGTATCACTGAATCATTATTATCTCTAAAAAAAATTCTTTCTATCTAAAAATATTTTCTGGCTTTAAATAACCTGCAAATAGGCCGCAGAAAACGAACCAATCAATCTATTAATCCCCGTATTGAATACATTTTTTTTTTTTAATTTTCAATCTCTTCCCATTACGAAGTAGCAGCAGTTGGTTATATTTTGTATCAGAGATATGCCCATCTATGAAAGTGACTCATTACCTTTTCTTGGTCTTACATTCTCGGCTGGCTTCAAGTGAAAAGATTATATTGAATCCATGGCTAGGTCTGCTGTTAAGAAAGTTGGCCCCTTGCGTCGTGCAAGACATTTTTTTCTCTCCTGAATATTTCTTACATATTTATAAGTCTACCATTCGTCCATACCTTAAATATTTGCTGCTACATATAGTCCGGTATTCCTGAGAGATTCTTGATAAAATCCAGAATAAGCAATATTATTGGTCCTTATCTGGCATTTCGGTTTCAGTAACTTTCTCACAGCCATAAAGTATCTTCCCTGTGCCTTTTTTATTAATACTTTCATGTTAATCGTTAGGTGGGAACTCTTCGCTATGGTACTCAGACTTTATGAATTTAAGCGCAATACTAGATTGACGGCAAGGTCTTATCAATTCATAATTGAATTGGTTAAATGGAACCGTAAGTTCTATGCTGACAGTTTCTTCACTCGCACTCTCTTCCGGCTCCATGCTTTCCAAGAAACTTTGATCTTCACAAATTCAAATGCAATGTCAATCGTTATCTACTATCCTCTTGATTAGTCTTCTATTCTTCTTACTCTTTGATAAGGTTTTTGTTTTTTAATTTTCACACCCAGTAAGCCGTTGTGCCTTAGTGGCTTTATTGCCTTACATTAGGTGATGTGATTTGAAAAAATTCTAAGTACATTTCAAATTGTTTATTAAACGATAGATCTACAGAAAATCGCCTGGCACCCATTTTTACTTTCCTAAACTTGCTTGTAAAAATGCAAATAAGTTACAATACATTTTAAAATCTTACCTGTTATTGAAAGTTTATTTATTATTTGTAATTATGACTAAAAGCCTAGTCTACTATATGTATAAACCTTTGAGTGAAATCAATATTCCTTGTTTACAACATGAATAGTTCCTGTTAGTGTTACACGATGCGGCAACAGTGCAAATGTTGTTTGAAATTCTAAAATGAAACCTTACTTACTTTATTCCAGGAATTATTTACACTATGCTTATCGAGTTTTTGTTTGTTTTTTATTCACCACTTCGGTTATTCTACGGCTATCCTCAGGTTTTATGTTACGCCCTTAAATCTTAATCATCATCCAATTTATTTTTTATTTATTTATTTATTTTAGGAAAATCTTCTCACAGATTAAGGTCATTACTTTTTTTATTACTTCAAAGTCAAACGTTTTTTTGTTTTTGTTTTGTTTTTTTTTGTTGTTTTTTTTTTTTTGCTGGATACCCGTGTTTAAAATAGATGCTTTGTTTTTATAAACAGTGTATATGATCTTAAATATTATATATGAATAAATTAATTAAATATGTAACCAAAAGATAAACTAAAAGTAAATAAAAATAATTATATATATACATTCAACACCATCACTTGATAAGACACCAGAAATGTTGAAACAAAATGGCTATTTTTGTAGTGATTTTATAACATATTTATGTTATAATTTTCGAATAAATAATTGTATTTGCTCTACTCTGTATTGAGCACTCTCTTAAGAATAGTATTTGTTGATTATTGGAATTTATTCCGTATACACCAATCCTATATATAAACACACAAAAGTAAATGCATAAAAATATCAGATAGGGTATGTGTAAAAGGACAGAAGATGAAACGCGTCAGCTAAGTTTTTCTTATGTCTTTATTTGGAAAAATAAATCAATAACAACATGAACACATTTCGTTCAATAGGCTCCCAAAATGACTTCACTTAGCGCTTTCCATAGTTTACCTTTCCTCGCCCAGTAAGTTTTTAGAATATTTTAGAGCGTTCTCTAATTCAAAATTTGAAAACTTCACGTTATTTTTGCTTCACGTTACTTCAGGGAATAAATACAGGTCGTCAAATAAAGAAACGAAAAGTGTTGGCATAAAAAAGGTTTTCCTCTTGTCTTTCTTTATATTGTCATATGAATTCTGTACCCCCCCCCGCACCCCAACACACATATATATACAGGGCCGTATAACCCCGAGACCCTCACTACGGTTGAAAGGGGGGCAAGTGTTATTGTTGATGGAATGATCTATTATGACTTGTATTTAGATACGTTGCATTTATTTTCAATTTTTCTAGTTGAATTGTTCACCTATATTGCATATGTTCCATTATTGTACATAATTAGGTTACAATAAAAGTTTTATTTTATTCTTATATGTATACTACCTTATGGAAATTGAGATGTAGTAGAATGTTGGGACGGGTATCATAGATTCATGGGAAGCAAGACCCTTCCACATTTTATATATATATATATATATATATATATATATATATATATATATATATATATATATATATATAATTTTCATAATAAGAGATTATGATAAAAACATGTTGAAATCGTTACATAAAGCTTTCATCATTTCCTATTACGGAAAATACGTCAGCGACAAATGTATCGATACAATGACGGCCTGTCTATGTTCCGGTTTAACATGACATGAAAAAATAACTCATCCATCTCCACCCTCTGAGCTTACTTTTCTATTTAGCGCAGATCTGACATTTAATTGGTTAATCTAGACATACCCACAAGTCTATTTTTAATTTTGACCTTATACCCTCCACCTTTAAATTTCGGAAAAGAGGTAACACTTTGTTTTTAAATTTCCTTAAAAATCATTTAATCGCCAGTTACTTACCATCGCCTGAAGAAGTACAATCAAAGTATTGAAACATGAAAGCTTTTGTGTAGCGATTTCAAAATGTTTTTATTATAATCTCTTATGATAAAAATAATGAAATATTGCTCTACTTTGTATTGAGCACTTTTTAAAAGTAAATACTACGAACAGTGGATTTTTACTCCATCTGTTCTTAATATATATATATAAGACATTTTTATGTTTATACATTCTTTTTATATGTCTTAAAATAACTGTCAGACTTTGTCCATTTCATAATATATATATATATATATATATATATATATAATATTTAAATTTAAAAATTTACAGAGCATTAATATTATAAATTAATTGATTTAAAATATGGTTTTTTCCGCTCCACCATGTTTCAAAATTTTTTGAAACGTGGTTAGAACTGTGTAGCGGAAAAAAAAATATTTTAAATCAATTAATTTATAATATATATATATATATATATATATATATATATATATATATATATATATATATATAATGCTCTTTAATTGACTTCAGTATGAATTACTTTTCTATATTTAATCTAGTATAAACCAAGGAATTTGAAGAACATTTCTAACTAGGTTACATGTCGAATTTTTTATGGAAATCAATCTGATTCCATTGCTAGTAAACGACTTCATAAACTGTTGATTAATATTGATAAAATGTCGATGTAAGATGAAAGAAAACTGATTGTGCTCTGCCGGTGCAAGAAGTCGTTAGAACATCAGACCAAATGTTTTTTTCTCTGTAAAACAATTAACATTTCTTCAAACAGTTATTTCAGTCTCAGCTTAAACTTGATATTCGTGGGAATCTCGTCAAGGAGGCCGCTGAGAAAGAACGGAACTTTTTACGATAGTTTAGTTACCGTGTAACGTCACAGGAGTGGAACACCAAAAGAGGGCCGAATTCCTTTCAACATTAATAGCTACTTACTAATCTTATGTTAGTCTGGTACTAGGCGATAAATATAGGGCGCTCATTAAGGTTTAAACTCGTTGCAGAAAAAGTTACTTAAGAGACCCACTTGCTAACTATTACGCTACAGCTTGAAACCCAGGTCTGTTATATCGATATAATAAGCCATAGGTTAAATAATAAGATAGACTACATAGCCTTAGGTGGCAACCAGTTTAAGAGAAGGAAAACTCAAAATTGCAAAGTTTGGAAAAGGTAACAGGAAACCATTTCAATATTTTACACTAGAATGCATGCCAATTCCCAGCTACTAAAGAAAAGATCTGTGAAGAGTCATGAGTGCATACGTTAAAAAGGAACTGTTTGTTTTTTGTTTGTTTGTTTTTTTTAGAGTTTAGTTTCGTACATTTCTCCACTACTTATTGTCGGGTCCAAAATATATATTATTATTTAAACGACGCAGATAAAAATTTAAAAAATCTCACAATCAGTTTTTCATTTTTAGCTGAACTAGCTCTGGAATCAAACTATTTCAAACTCAACAAGCGCTAGTTTCCCATAACGCAAACGACGATCTCTTCGCTAATTGACATTCACACAAGTCCAACATTCACGCTATCCCTCCGGATGAATTTCGTTTGTCTTTATCACTGTCCTATCGCCGGTCCTCACAAACAGCTTTACTTACGCTTGGCTTCGTTTACTTTAATTTCTAAACGGCTACATCCGGGTTTCTTTAACTCCCAACCGATCAACGCATGAATTCTGTCATGAACACCGTCCGTGTTTGCCCTCACGAACTAGCTTCTTAAATTATTACTCCACAGTGATTAACCGGAAATAAATGTTAATATTTAGTTACGGCAGAATAACACAAGTTGCAAAAATGTGTCGACAAAATTTAATAAAAATGAGAGAAAGAAAAACAAACGAATCAGATACTGAAAAGGTATTGAAATGAGTCTGGCAAAAAAAAAAATCAACAAGAAAGGGCGTTTTTAAAAACTGAGGAAATCATGTTTTT